TTCTCTCTTGCTTGAGGACGGTTAAAAATTTCTGGATGACTGTTCCATTCATGTACAATTTTCGAAACTTATCTAATTATTTTCCTACGATTTTCTGAAGTTTAATTCTTTACATTTCACTGCCCAGGCTAGGTTATTTTTCGTACAAAAAGGAAACCTAAAATTTTCGGATTCAAAAATGTGATGGAGAGAGGAATCAGAAAAATTCTCACTTTCGTAATATGTTAAATTGCTTCTAAAATTTTCTGCAAAACAATACTGAAGCCCTTTTAATTTCGAAAAGATTCAAGTTTCCCTAGGATGACTGGACCGAGCAGGTACAAATTTTATAGCGCCCCTTAGAATGCATTTCTGGGGATCTTAAAGTTTTCTGGATAGCCTAAAAAACGATTCCAATGTATTAAGGAGGAAACCGTCGTTGGGTGCCCCTGATAACCAGAGAGGGTGCTTGGGATGGAAGATTTTACAATCCTAAATTTAGACCTTTAGATTCGAGAATAAGAACAACTACAAGTACGAAAGTTGACTTTCTTCGCGTACTCTCGTAAAGTAGACATCCCGGAAAGCTTCATTGTACTTTTTTTCATCAATTGTATCTTTACTGATAGAGTTAAAGCCCTCTCCCGATCCCAAAATGATAAAACTTCTAACATTTGATAACTCGTTTTCGCCTCTACGATTCTCGTTAAAACTCGTAGTAGTCGTAGTAGAATGAGGACGACTATCGCGTTTTTCCGCCAAAATAACGCTGGTTCACGCGCGAGTACTGCTCAGGATTGAGAAAACCAGTCGTCCTCGTATTAGAATCTAAAAAAATCTAATGTCACCCTATTGTAGACTAGAATTCCCCAATTTCTCTACCTTCCCCAGACCAACCTGTTTGAAATTCCACCGTTTACAGCGGCACATTCCTATGTAGCCCATATATTGAAGGACCCCTATCCCTTACCCCGGATAAAGCACTTCTGAAAATCCCACAATCACGCTTTTATCACTGAAAAAGTTGCTATTCTCGTAAAAAAATTGAAAGTGGTGGTTGAAAATTACTATTTTCGAATAAGGACCGGTGGAAATGAAAAAATTGAATGCTCATGGACTTTATGCATCAACGTGTGTAGCATGAAACGTAATTGAAACAAAGATGCTAGCCTGCGTAGCAAGCGTAAATATCAGTCCGAAGTATTTGTAATCTGCGATCATAAATCAGATGAGACCAGATCTGTGACGCACGTAAACAAAGCATACCTGGTTTGATTGATGGCGAGTTCTAAGTAATCAACACTACCAGCACCACACCAATCAGAAGCTGCTTTCGTGGGCGAACGCAGTTTTTCAAAATCGTGGGGTTTGCGGGCAAGCGTTTCCTTCTTTCCCCTCCCCCTCCCCCTCCCCCGTCATGCCTTCTTTTTTTTGCTCTCGTCCCAACTCTCTCGACTAACTCGCGAGGAAGCTCGAGGAAGCACGAATTATATAACGAGGTTCGGGGGCATGCTCCCCCGGAAAAAAAATCGAAAATTGGACTCTCGGAAACGACGTATCCTGCATTCCCTGGATCGAACACAATTAATTCATACGTCTATTTTGTTGAGCTTTCAGTTCTCAGTCTCGTTATTCATAATTCCCTTGCGCTGTTTTCAAAGCCATTTCAAAGTCAAGCAAATTGCAAGCTATTCCACGTGGTCACCGCTTCATCTCCAGGCAATCAGAGTGCTTTTTAACCGTGCGATTCAGCATTGAGTATGCAATTCTGTTAATATTACTTGCGCGGCCATCGTATTTCAAGCAGTGCTTAATATTTCAGTAGCGCAAAACCCATTTAATAGTAGAAAATTGTAACCCTAAATGCGGGCTCAGAAAATTTTAGCCCCCTCCAAATGGGCGCCCAAAAAGTCGCAGCCCTCCCCCAAAATTTACCAGCCCCCCCTCCAATAGTTAATGACTACTCCTTAAGCAGTTTTTTAGCGAAATCCTTTCATTTTCGTTTACAGAAAGATAGGTTTTTCCCCATGCTCACATTTCGCGCTTGGGCGCCCTGTGGTTTTAGCAACAATTTAAGGTGACAACATCATGAGGGGATTGGGTAAATCTAAGTTTTATTACATTTACCCCAGGATTGAGTGAGAAAACAATACTAGAATAAACAAACAACAAAACCAAGGGACCCTAGCCCTATCTGAAACAATAGAGCTTCGTTTCACTCAAGGAAGAACGAATTTCCAGCGCTCAAGCGATGAGTTTAGGATGTGAATGGTTTCACCAAAACATGTTTCAGTTCCATTTAACAGCAAAATTCTCACCGTTTTTCCGTAAAAATGTCAGCTTCATGTCTGTGCACTTAAAGAAAAGATGTACATACGTGTCAATGACACGGATCAGAAAATAGTTATGAATTACTAGTATTTCTTGAGGCCAGCTTTTTGCCCCTTAATACCGCAAATGCAAATGTGACCAACGAGTATTGCTCGCAATAAGAAAAAACAAAAAGAAAGAAAGAAACAAAAAACAGCTTTACGAGAAAAAGAAAACGGCCTCACTAAACCAAAAGCTGGGGCTGTGGTGGCTTAAAGTATTTGCTCTATCATAACAGAGCCTATTTTTCACTTCCAGACTGGAAAACAGCCTTGTGTATATGCCAAGAGCGAGGGTAAAAACGGTAAGTGAAACGGCGAGGACTGTGCACTTTTGCAAAAATCTCAGCCGGCGGCTTGTGCCGATATGGAAAAAACACTGACCTTTTTGCAGTTTATTTTACCTTTTTATCAAGGCAAAGATAGAGAGACTCTGTTCGTAAAGTGGAGCGCTGTCAGCTTGCTATAAAATATTTTTCTTCATCATATGGCTGAATAAGATGAAGCGAATCCTGCGTTCTGATCTGCTTTCCGAGGCAAGATCCTGCCTGCTCGGGGTTTCCCGCGTTGGTCCCGCAAGAAAAAGTCCACGTTTTGGTCATAATAATACTAAATCCTTTCTTGAAAAGGCTTGTTTGATCAAAGATGGCTGAATATTGGCCTCGTTCTGTTTTTTGTTTTTATGGACTGAGACGAGATAAAGAACTTGGCCAATATCGAGCCATCTTGACCTCACGCGTGGTACACAAAATTCATCTGTAGCTGTCCAGCACTACTATTTTTAATAACAGCATCATTTACAACTGTGTAATTAAATACAGTATACTTCTAGTACGCTTGGTTGCCATTTTGGCTTTGACTGATTACAAACTGGTTTCCCTGGAAATATTGAAAGCGTGTTATAAAACTTCTTACAAAAAATACTCTCGTAAAGTTAAGATACCTAACTAGTTAACCTAACATTACCTAATAATAGAAGGGGCGAGCAAAGTCTAATATAAAACAAACTCTACGTGCACGTACAAGTGCACAACCATCCAGGAAAGTATTTTCAGGTAGAAAAGATGCAACCAAAGCTTTTTACTCTTACTACATTGGTTCTTGGCTCAAATAGTACTGTGAATTAAAACGCATTTCAATATCTTAATTTATAAAACTAGCAGAAGTTAAAGGCTAGGGTGGTGCAATCTATGACCAAGGATAACAGTGAAACCCGTATTAAGAGGACCCCCCTCAACTTAGTTTCCATCCAGTCTTTTCGGTTAAGCGAACCTGTATCTTGAGCAGTGACATTAGCGAGCAGCGACTTACGGGAAAAATTTTTCGGAACTGGTAGAGGGGGAAAGTGGGGGCTGAAGCTCATTCGTCCAAACAAAACTTTACTTTCAAAGTGACTTGCAAACGAATGATACCTTTCCGTGTGAATTTTCCAACAATGTGAGCCGGACCAAGAAACCTTGCTCGAGCGGAGATCTCGGCAAGCACTCCGGCCCACCTTATCATATAAACAAATCAAAATATAACGCAAATTTTATGAGAAAACAAGAGATAAGCCGAGCGAGTCCGGTAAAGAGGGTTGTGCACTTCAAATAATTTAAACTAGTATTCCATAACAATGTGAAAGTTACAGTGCTCTGCCACCCTAATTTAGCTTATTAAGCACCGGGGTTAACCACGAGCTAAAACATTTCTTGATCAACAAATGCTGACCCTCTGTCAACGGCTTAAAAGACTGCCGGCAAGCGTGCTCCTGATTATAAACGCAAACTTATGCCGCTCTAAATTTTTAGATATGCCTTCATTCCGAAAAGAAGCCCAACGACTTTTCAACATGATTAACGTGGTAGGAATCATGTTCAAGAAGGAGACATCTTAATGACCAGAACTCGTAAAAGTTATGAAGATCGTTCTCACGCATGGACTCTCCGAGAGAGGTCTTGACTGTCACCTCTCCGTTTTTATTTGGGGTCCTTTGGTTGTCGATTTCTTAGTTGATAGAATTTTACGGGTCCAAGATGTAAAACATCCGGGAGGTTAGCATTACACTGAACGGTAGGAAAAGTTGACCCGAAAACCAAAGTAGTTTCATAAAATTAGGACTGTCCACCCCTCCCTCCAACTTCATCCATTGCACGCCCCTGCTAGGGGAGGGGGGGGGGGGTCCGTGGGTGTCCACTTAATACAGGGTCCACTTTCTACATACTAAGTAGTTGCACACAGCTGTATTTGAAAAATACCAAATCCTTGCTAAAATATTTCATCAATTTGAAATGGCAAGTACACTCAAATGGTTACTCAAGGTGGTTTGACCACTCTGGTTGAATCTTGAAAGGTTCTTTTGGAGAGTAATTTCCACAGTCATCAGCGAACACCGTCGTGATTAATAGGTTTAATCATTTCTGCTTGTTTCTTTGCCTCAGCTCGTGTTAGTAGAAGAAATGACTCTCCTTCACCTCCTTCATTTTGTCCATTTCTCTTTTCCTCTTCTTTTCCCCCGGTTTTCGCAGGCATGTCTCCTTTATTTTCCATCTCCTCCTCATTCTTTTTGTCATTGGAGTTGCTTTGTGAGTTGCTCTCGGAAATTGGATTCTCAGGCGTGTCCTCGGTTGTAAAAAGTATCCTTTTCATAAATGCAATAGTAACCGTTAAAATAATCGTTTTTACCACGTCATCGATAGTATTGCTTACAAAAACTCTTTGCCCTGCTGCAATCACTAGAAAAATAAGGAATACGAACGGGAAAAATAAAGTTAAACAGTACAAGATAATAAAGAAATTTCTAAGTTGATTCTTAGAATCGTAACAAAATTTAAAGAAAAACTGCAATGCAAAGAATAGGGCAGTAATGATAACACCAACAAAAAGAAGAACAGTGACACTCCACAATGCATGCACCATAATTCCAGTTACCATCCAGCAAAAATGATACAAGGTCAGGTAAGCCCACAAAAAGATACTAACAATTGGCGATATTTTCTTCAGTTTAAATAACTGATCCTTGGACTTCCATTCATTCAGGTTTAGTTCATTTTTTATAAACCAAATACATCCCACAATCGGCCCTTTAAGAAACGTTATTATGAGAAATGATATCATAAGCCTTTTAAGAAGAACTGGAGCATCACTTCTGCATAAAAACACTATGGATATAACAAATAATCCAAGCTCTCCTATTAACATGAGTGATAAAACCACCACTAGAGCTCTATACATGGCTATACATGAGTCCTTAGGTTTAACTTTGTCTAAAAATGCGAGAGTATAAATGGCCAACCAAGGGCCAAGAAAGACAGCGAAACTAAAAGAGAGCAACATTGTTGCTATTATATATAATTCACGTTCTGTGTCTGCCAGGTTAGGTTCATGCCCCTCAGTGACACACTCCGCTGTGTTTAAGCTTGGATTTTGTATTCCTGGACTGACAGCAAGATCCTGAAGCTGAAAGAATAAAGAGTAAGATCGACTTTAACTTTTAAATACGACATTAAACCTTCAAAGACTATTAGCGAACTTAAAATCTTCTTGAGGCTAATTTTGTAAAGCCAGTTGACTATCTACTGGATAAACACGCACTCTTAGGGCCTGTTATTTCAACGGAGTTAAACCAGTGTTGAACAAAACCGCGCGCTAAGCAGCTCCTGTTCTAAGTCATTTTCAGTTTGCCCAACGCTTTTATCTAAACACCATTTGTCGTGGACAGTTTCATTGAAGCATATAGTGTAGACTAAAAAAGCATCTATCTTCTTAAATTGACCCACTAAAGAAGGGAGATGGAGGTCCAAAGATTTCTTAAACCACAGTCTAAGTTAGACTTCGTTTAAATAACCGACCCTTAGACTTTAAGAGTGCGCGCGCAACAAACCTTTTCATCTCGGATTACTGCGCTTTTCACAAACATGCGAACTCTAAAGTTCAAAGGCCGCCTTCACAATTGCGTTTTTCGCTGCCGTCAATCATAATTACGATCACAAGAAACGAACCTTGAAACATAGAAACACACAAAACGGATCGAAATCCACCAATCACAAATTACAAACCTTGACCTTTTGAACCCGTTAAAGTAAAGTATTGTTTCCTAAGAGGTCCGTTAAGATGATTGACGGCAGCGAAAAACGCAATCGTCAGTTGGCTTTTGAACTTCAGAATTCGCATTTTTGTGAAAAGCGCAGTAATAGGGCATCCATATTATTTTCCCGAAAATTTATGATGTAATTTAACCCTTTAAGAAGGTAAGAATTTTCTGATGCGTCTCTCCATCATATTTTCGGCGAATCCCGAAAATTTTCGATTTCCCTTTTTCATTGTTTCCTAAGAGGTCCGTTAAGATGATTGACGGCAGCGAAAAACGCAATCGTCAGTTGGCTTTTGAACTTCAGAATTCGCATGTTTGTGAAAAGCGCAGTAACCCTGGAATAAAAAAAATGATGTACAGTGGAACCTCGATTTAATGAACCTCTACATCATTAACGAAGTCCTCGGTATAACGAACGGACCGAACGATTTTCTTCAATCCGGCCAAATTACAGGAAAATGTATAGAACAGAACCTCTATTTAATGAACCTCGATTTAACGAAACCTCGTTATAACGAACAAAATCCACAAGCGCAAACGTAAAATTTACCTCGATATATTAACGAGTAAATGTCAGCATGTGATAAAAGATGAATGCCAAACAGAGTAACAAGGATAACATTTTTGTATACAGTAGTTTTAACCAGTTTTGTTTGCCTGTTCTTGAGTTCTAGTGCCGTAGCTATGTATCATGATATAAAGCTCTGTACTGAAATATTATTACAGTAATTTTTCAGACCCAGAAATGCTCGGTTTTGCAGATTAATTATAAACTATACCTCGATATAACGAACATTTTTGTAGTTTTCCCGAAAATTCGTTAAATGGAGGTGTTTGATAAAACGAACCCTCGATTTAACGAACAAATTTCCATAGTCCCTTGGCACTTCGTAAATCGACGTGCCACTGTATTACCGTGATAGATTAAAGAATACCGCTGCGGACTGGGAAAATAACAGAAGATCAGTAAAAAACGACGTCTACGATAAAATAAAGCGAGCCAAAAAGGCTTTCTTCAGACAGGAAATTAAGAGTAAAGAAGGTGAACCGCAAATCTAAAACACTCAGATTAGAGAGACGTTACTTTCTCCCACTGCACTCGCAACAACTAAATCCGAAGGATATCTCTGACCATTTTCATTTTACTGAAATTGGATACAAGCTTCGAAAGACTAGCACCAAATTTAGGCTCCTTTCTCTTCCCCGCCCCCCGCTTTCGCGTCTCCTCTCGCGTGTCTACTTTTTACGAAAAATCTTTTTGCTCGCAGGCGAAAAAGAAAACCGTGTGAAGTACTGAAGCTGTTATTAAACACGCTTGTACACAGGCGGACACGTGGCAAATGTCGTTAAATGCAAAGAAGTGCACCATCTAAAGAGTCTCGTGCTCGAAATCTCTCGGCCAGTACACCATTCACAGAGCACCCTTGGAAGCTATTGATCACTAAGTTGAGCTATGCAGTGACCTAAACTGAAGTGTCCATATTGCTGGAATTATAGGTAAAACCCAAAGATTTGTTTGCTACAAAAGAAGAAAACCTAAATAAGTGCCCAGAAAACGTAGAAGAGCCAGCCTATCTTGCTCTAGTTAAACCACAGCTTGAACATTGATGTTGCGCATGGAACCTAGTCTAGTCTCCCTCGCAGCCGTTTTTTGGATGTCACGCAACGCTCCCCCAAAAGAGGGGGAGCGTTGTTGGGGAAGCGTTGCGGAACATCCAAAAAACGGCTGCGAGGGACACTACATGGAACCTGACATTCAAAGACATAAAGGACATTGAGAGTGTGCAGAGACGACCAGCACGTTTTTTTTTAAAAAAAAAATAGGCAGTCTATAACGACGTCTGGCATATTCAGACTACATACAAAGCTAAATCATAATGGAATTAACCCCAAGGAAACCAGAGTAGAACAAATGTCCAAGAAAACTATGGGTATGCAGTCTGCAAATGTGACATAGTCATACAAGGGTGCATTTCCCGTTAATGTTTAAAGGTTAAATTCCGTATCGTGCATGAGATAATTAAGGGTAACATTGAATGACGCATAATTTCATTTGCAGATTTCAGGGGCACCCAACGGCAATTTTCGGGAAAATATCTGTTCGGAAGACGATTTGAGATCTAGAATTTTCGAAGCATTTGTTGTAAAATTTCTTGCTTGCCTGCCTCTCCTAGGATTTTCGAAGATCTACAAAATGGTATAATTACCCATTTTCAACGGATTTTGACCCTAAAAAAGGCCACCTAGAATTTTCGGGAGCCTTTTCCTGACTGAAATTTTCGAGACGGTAAGTTTTTATCCCTATAATTTTCGGATCACTAGACTTTCAGCTAGGAAATCCGAACAGATGAAAAGTAAAAAAAAAATATGCCTATATCTACCGTTTGAATACTAAAATACGTTCAACAATGCTATGTTAGGTGGTTTTGAACTATATCCTCGTTGGGTGCCCCTGTAATTTAATGTACAAGTGCATTAATAATCTCGCCCCAGCTTATCTCTGTAATTTGTTTACCCCAAGAACACCGAATTACTATTTTCGCAACGCGAAGGAATAATTAATGCTCCCAAGACCAAGAACTGATTACCTGAAGCGTAGCTTCAGTTACAGTGGCCCTCTTCTATGGAACAATCTTCCTGAGGAAATACGTACATCAAATTCCTTAGGTTTCTTTAACCCATTCGCCCCTGAACCGCCCGTAACCGCCCGTGCGGATCCAGGTCCTTTCTACCCTTTGTGACGTCATCAGTTTTAACGGTCAAGGACAACTTTCTTCGGTAACTTGTGCAGAGTGAAGAGATCTTTCAAACCATACCAGAATGACCACAATTCAGTCAAGGACACCGGAGAAAGAAGCAAAAAACCACGTGACAAGGACCTGAAAATCTCCATGAAAATCTTGTTCCATTACCCACCTACCTTTCCTTTCACCTAATCCTAAGATCCTAAAAGCTTTCCTAAAAACTCTTCCCACCAAAATGAAGCCTACTAAATGCCCAGCAAGAGAAAAAAAAAANAAAGACGGCACAATTATCTTTTTTCCCATTACAATCTTATTCTAAGAAAATTTAAAGAAAAAAATGTCCCATTTATACTGAGCAAATGTGATTTTAGCCGCATGTTTCACACTGAGAGCTCATGACATACATATCAATTTACTGTAGTTATTGTTTTCTGGTCGGCAGGATTTGCCGTCTGATGCAAGCGCATTTTCTTTGACCTCTTTTGAAGCGTAAAGCTTTTTTATTACGGCTGAATAAGGGTTCCAATTTTCTCCAAAGTGCCCTCTGGATCTGAATAATTAAGCGATTTTCTTTAGTCCGTGAGTGTAATGTTTTTCTGCAATGCTGTATCACGCTGGGCCCAGCTCGTCAGTTTTCTAAATTATCACGGATAGTGACTTACAGATCCAAAATTATAAGAGTGAACTGCAGCTTAAACTGAAGCTACATAAACTTACTATGGAGAATTGAATTGTGACTCAGTAAACTCCAGCTTAGTGTTTTTCTAAAGATAGTGCGAGTCTTTTGACTGGAGCGCGTAGTTCCTCCCTTGGTAATAGCTTTGAATAAGCTTAACAGTCTTTAAACTGTTTTGTTATTGCCACAGTTTGTGATCAGGCAAGACCATGGTTTCGGTTCTCCACACGAACCTCATCAGTTGCCGGGTTGGCTTTGTGCTTAGTTGCTTTTGCAAGAGCAACTTTAGTTGTACTTTGTTGTGGCGAGAACGGTACAGTACAGCCGTTCTGTCTATTGAGCTTTGAACTTGAACATAAATACCCACGTGGCGGATCGAAATTCTTGTTTTCCTGTTGGTCTCTGGACGTAACCAATTACAGAGTGTGTATTTCGATCCTCTTGTGCTTCAAGCTAGAGGTGTGTTTTCTTGGATAGCATTTCGTGAAAATTTAAGCACTTTGTTTTATGGAAGAGTTCGAGGACTCTTGCAAATAAGTGCGCACAGAGTTTCCGTACACTCCCTCTAAAAACTGCAGTGGATACGTTCCTTGTTAGGTGCGCAATGTTGAACTTTCTACTTTGTGCTTGGTTCTTATTAGTGCCTGTGTTGATTTTCATAAGGTAAAACGGGGCCTACCCGTAAACAAATCATAGCAATAAAAGGGGGTGGTATGCCTACACGACTTTTACCTCATGCCAAAATGCTGCAGCAGACAAGTCGATAATTGCCCGAGACAGGACGCTCACAAGTAAGGAACCTTGAAATAAAAAAGGATCGAAATCCACCTATCACAAATTACAAACCGTGACCTTTTGAATTCTTTGAAATGAATATCTATTGCTTAAGAGGTCCGCTAAATTGAGGTGATAAAAGTAGGCGGCATTCGAAAAATCCTGGTTCTCTGGCAGGTGGTATTTCTATTTCTCGCGGCTTACACCGCTCGTGACGGCTTCGCCGCCAAATCTCACTCAACTACTTGAGAGTCAATAGTCCATGGGGCAAAAGGCCGAATGGGCTATTGACTCAGAGGCAATGGGGGCGAGAGAAATAATTGTTTTAGTAAAATCCAACTAGTTTGTCAAAAATATCGAGACAAAACAACTTTAGCTAGCAAAACGCGATTCAGCCGCCACTGCTTTGGTTTTCAAAGCCGGCGCTTTTCGCTACTAGTGGGCTATAACATAATTATAGCCTAGTAGTAGCTTAACCAGTAAGAACGCCGCATTGATAATAGACCACTAGTTGCATTTTACTAACACACAATACCGCCAGCTACGCAGGCTAGATTACTTCGAAAATTTCCGCCTGGGATCCCGGCATCACAATACTGGGATCCTAGCTAACCGGGTTGGCTCGGTTGTCATATAATCGGAAAGTTGGTTTTTGGTGCGTTTAACTAAGGTGCCGAGATCTGTGCAAAGCGAGCCAGCCCGGCTCATGTTAGTAGGCCCTTAGTTCTATTGCCAGATTGTACGCCCTCCCCCTTGACCTCACCGATTTTTCAAAGGCCCCAGAACACATACACAAAATTTCAGACCCCCCTCTCTTCCCCGCGCCTCAATATCTTCATAGCCCCTTCTCTATATTAAATGAACTTTCCCTTATCAACGTTCTCTCCATACAAATATTATGAAAAATAACCGAAAAACAATCCTAAACAGAAAGCCTAAAAACGTTTCAAATAAGTATGTTTTCGACTATTGATGAGATCTTTCACAACCACCACTTTATATCAACAGACTGAACTACACTATTCCTCATAACCAAATTAGCACTCCCACAACTACCTCACTGCAACACCTACAATCACTTTTACCTTCCAAAAAAATTATTTTTTGTTACTTCATATTAAATTCTACGAGAAACCAGTTTCACTGATTAACAAACTACAGCCATTATCTTACCAATCTACGTCTAATATAACTCCATGCCTTCAACTTCACACATCTCAACCAACCCCTAAAATATATAACGCTACTGCACTACTCACACATCCCCAATACACATAAAAAACTTCACACACGCGAAGTACATCGACGCGTAAATATATGCTCCCACAGCGTCCTGTTGTCTCATTCTAATACTAGCTCATGTACATTTGCCCATCTAATCACAGGGTCCAGGGGAGTTTCGTGTGAATAAATGAATTACTTATTTTAAGTCTCGCCTTGAAAAATGTCTATACCGGTCGCTTAGCACAATTAATTAGCCCAACGGGATCTTTATAAATATACTGTAAACGATTTCTTTGCTTCTTATCTGACCCAGAATCAATAACCGCAAGCCATATCCTCGCTGGTGCACGACACGTCGTCCGAAGGGTGACCGAAGGCCGTCGCCCCTCGGGCCACTCAGTCTCTTGGTTTGCGGTCTATAGAATGTACAACGAAACTGTAACGCGATCAAAATAACGCATTTTTTCAGAGGTTTTCGAAGGGTTTTGATGTTCTAACGACAAACATATCTCCCCTGGACCCTGTGATCTAATGTGATGGGTTACACCTTTTGTAGATTACACAATTAGAATTAGAATAACAGGAGTACCCAACGGATCCGCTCCTCAGGCTAAGAATTTGCTGGCTGGTAACTAAATAAAGGATGAGAAACTCTTGCTGGGAACTTTGCCGAAACGCTTTTCTGGCTGTGGTTTTTCATTTTGAATGCCGATGCTGGCTGGAAAAAAACATATTCCTATCGCCTCTGGTTTCCTGCGGCTTTAAAGAATGTGCTCTGGCTCATTCAGTTGCCAGTTATTTTTGGGCTGGAGAAGGAAAATGACAGCTGAGGCCCTGTTTGGGGTAAATTCCGACAAGCGGCATGGCCTTCAACTGGCGACATGAGGGCCACGAACTGGCGACGACCGACAGACTATTGCAACGAATTAGCGAAAGCGACATCAATGTCAAGACAGACCGACAGCGAATTTGAGAATTGACAGAATTGTGAATGTCCTGCAGAACATTTGCGCGTACGCTATTCGGTAGTAATTACTTAATAATGATCAATAATGGCCAATAATGGCTAATAAGGGTGCAATAAAGGCAAACAGAAATACGTCTCATTTTACTGCTGTTTTGATTGTTCATTTCATTTGATTGACGTGTTCAGTGCATCACTCCCTTTGAGGACTTTGCCGCTTTGCGTGTCATGTTCTCCTCCTTCCATGACCCACGTGCGCGCTCCATCAATCTGTTAGAGAGATTTTTTTTCTTTATCGATCGCGTTCATCTCGGTGTTCCAAAAAGTAAGCGAGTTATTGAAATACATCACTATCAGAGTCATTAGCGAGTCGTCGGAGTGCCGGTGACGGCATCAACGGCATGGGAAAACACAAAAAACACAAAAAGGGAAAGAAAAAGCGAGAAAGCGAGTCATTATGTTCATTGAGAGATTTTCTGAAAGACGTCAACCCAGGGTTCAACAGCTTTCTCAAACTGGTCGCCACTTTGACACTTGTTGTGGAGAACTTTTTCAGCCAAATGCGCTCCAGAAATGACATGCCAAGTGCCTTGGAGTTTGCATATCTATTTGCGCCCACCATTCGCGAGTCATTGAAACAACTCACTGACATTGGCTTTGTCTACTACACTTCCCCACACTCTTATTATGAAGTACCAGATGAGATGAAACTCCCGTTTCGAGACCTGCCTTCTTTGTCTGTTCCATCGTCAGTAGAAATGGCAAAAGATGACCAGAGGTTGATGAGAGACTGGAGGGACAGCTTTGGTAAACCGGTCCGTCAACTGCCCGTTCGAAATCAAAGTACCAAGGACAATGTAGGTACACTTCCATTGTTCGCATACACAACACCAGATCAGCCTCCAAGACCATTAGATTTTTCCACCACAGACGACGGACCTCACAGCTAGAGAAACAGTGGTCACAGAGGTTGAGCAGGAAGCTGTCAGAGGAGCCATTTTATTTGAGGCCAACAGTGTTGTGGTCGTCAAGCGCGACCACATACGTGGATACCCGAACAGGGGACCCTTTTTTGTTGGAATTGTCGTAGCTGATGTCACCGACAAGGAAGAGAATTCTTTTTGTGATATTGAGTTCTTTGTTTCTTCATTTGAAGACTGTCTGCTGTTTACTTTGAATGAAAGCGTGCGAATCCACCGAGATGCTATCGTCAGTAAAGTGGGGGAAGAGCATTTTGAAAAAGGGTACGATTTTGTGAAATTGACGGAGGTATCATACGAGACATTTCTTCGATACCAAAATGACGTGGAAGACCTTTTGCCAGACAAAGAAGGCGGTGAAGAGGACAGCGACCTCGACTCTGATGATGATGAAAGCCCAGCAAACGTCGTCTTTGAAGGAATGCCACTTCGCACAACATCCGGAAGAACTGTCATCCGCCCAAATCGTCTGGACCTTTAGTTCATTTTTCACAGACTTCTTGTAAACGCATGCCTTACAGATAATGAATGGTTTATAATGTCCTTCCTCCTGGGTTGTTATAGTTACGGAAAAGCACAGTCTGACAACTAAATCAGAGTTTATCTCGGAAGAAACATTAGACTCTTGCACCACCAGAATTTTAGAAACGTTATGATAGCTCAAGTGTTCTGCCAGATTAGGCCTCGATTCACGCCAAGCCATTTTAAAAATATCTCTACACCTGTATAGTTTTACTAAATGGAATTTTATTGACTTCAATTACTATTCCAAGTAGTCTGAATGAATATCAAACATCTGTAAAGGTCTTAAAACCCTGGGCTTAAATGTACTAAAGATAGATGCCGTATGTTCCGTTAGCGTTGTTGCCGCCAAAGCGGATTGTCAGACTGGCAACGAGCTTAAAAACTATTATTGAAATTCCGACAGGCGACACAAGAATGTTCCGAAATTGCGACATAGCTGGCTGTGAAATTCAGACGGGGGACATGGGCACTTCCCCCACCTCCCACAGCTAGTTAGGAAAGTTCAAAGATAGCGCTGGCTTTGAGTGACAACTAGGGTGCACCGCGCGCGAGTCTATCTTTTTGTCGAGTGTCGAGGGTCGAGGGTCGAGGGTTCCATGCCGAGGGCGAGGGTACCATTTTTTTTTTTCAAAAAAAAGGTAATAATCAATGCAATAAATGTCCTTCCCAAGATGTGAGGTTAGTTTGCGTAATGCCCAACATTAAACATATTCTAACCATTGGGTATCCTTTTAAACAATTTGATTTGACATGGGAGAGAAGTGGGAGGAACACACAGCGTTTCTCTTAATTAGTCGCTCAAGACTAAGCTAAAACAGGACAGAGACGGAGAAATAGATAGAATAACAAATATCAGTTATCTTTTACCCACAGACTGATGATGTAGGTGGTGATGGAAAGGACACTGAGAGTAGCTGAATGAAGGATCCAAAGCTTGGGATAAGTGATAAGTACATTACGTTCTTTTTCAGCATATCAAAAAAACTCACAAAAACAAGCAAATTGCTCATCACCAGCGAAGTGAAAACGATGAGGTATGTCTGGAAACCTATTCCTTAGAAAGAACTGAACTCAACACTATTTGTATTCGCCAGGATACCACTAAGCTTTCGTTTAGTTAAATTTTTTCGTATCACCTGGATAAAACAGGGGCACCCAACGTCAATTTTCGGAAAATATCTGTTCGGAAGACGATTTAAGATCTAGAATTTTCGGAACATTTTTTATAAAATTTCTTGCTTGCCCGCCTCTCCTAGGATTTTCGACCATCTAAAAAATGGTATAATTGCCCATTTTTTAACGGATTTTTACCCTAAAAAGGTCACCTAGAATTTTCGGGAGCCTTTTTTCTGGCTGAAATTTTCGAAAAGGTAAGTTTTTATCCCTATTATTTTCGGATGACTAGACTTTCAGCTAGAAAATCCGAACAGATGAAAAATTTTTAGAGGATAAAAATATGTCTATATCTACCGTTTAAATACTAAAATACTTTTAACAATGCTACGTTCAGTGGTTTTGAACTATATTCTCGTTGGGTGCCCCTGATAAAATGGCTCAATTTATTTTCCTGGCTGGCTAAATGTCGGATATTTTTTTTTGCTGGCAAAAAAGGGACGAAAGAGACATTCCTGGCTAGGGACATGACTTTTTGGTAAAAATCCTGGCTGGGAAAAGCCCTCAAGGTAAAGATCCTGGCTGGATATTGTACTTTAAAATCTAGCTCTAGCTGGCTTTGGGAAGCGGATATAATTTTGCCAGAGAAGTTAATAATCAACCAAAAAACAATTAGTGACTGTTAAAATATTACTGGGAGCGATATCCAATCACTTTTGAAATTTTTCTCGTTGGGTACTCCTGGAATAACAGGATTTAGGTCAGGCTACAGGCCTGGAGTACACAACAAATCTAACTTCAAAATTATGGTAGCATAAGCTGATGTTATTAAACCTAAGATTATGCCCTATGTGTTCACACATACTGTACTAGGACTACTAGCAATACTTAACAAATTTGTCTTGTCCAATCTCTCGATTGGAACTATTTTTTCCCTAATGAGTTAGGAATGGTCAGAGTCTCAATCCTGTCTTCAAGACTGTAGAAGACAATGACAAATACATCTGCGTTTTTGGGAGACTAATTTTATGAACGGTTTTACAGTATTGAGATCACCACAATTTTTACGACAGTCAGGTTTTCTATCTTTCCATTCAACCCTAAAATGTAAATTCATCACTACTAACTTCCTGCAAGTTTAATTAAAGACAAAAAATATCACTTACCGCTGCCAATACATCTTCAATTATTGTCACACGGTTTTCCACTGATACATTACAACAAAATGGTGCTATTGTGATAGCTAATTTTTGTGTCCTAGACCTCACAAGAATTGAACCAAGAGATAAAACTTCTAGGACATATCCAGGAAAGGCAGCAAACAAGCATGACATACTCCATGTGTAATAGGCTGGTCTGTATTTCTCTGTCCCATTGGCTCCATTCAACGTCACACGGACAAGAAGAGATGACATCTTCTTTGCAGGATATAAAGCTTGGGCAATTTTAAAGTAATTCATATTTGATCCCAACAACTTGTAGACTTCCTCATATGTCTGCATGCAGGAAGTGGTGTCATTACAAGCTGTGATTACAGAGCCAGTACATGCCTCAACTGTGTTTTGTTGAAAGCTGAACATCACTGCATTGAGAACAGCAAGCATGAGATATTTCTGAGGACCAACTGAGAACATCCTTGCTTTCACCTGATTCTGTAAGTCATGTACTTTACTGCAAATGAAGATGGAAACTTTGTTTTGGTGACTTTCAAAGTTTTAATATAGTTTCAAATTCATGGACTTCTCAGTTGTACAGAGTCACCTAATGTCATATCTTTCAAAATCTCTGAGCTGATCTGATTGCACATATATAATTTTATTTCCTTATAATTGGTCTGTTTTATAGGAGCCTCACTTGGGGCACTCCCATTGTTATAATTAGATCACTGTAAGGCACTTTTATCAACAATAATTTCAATGTTATGGAATGAGGTTGAGTAGGAAATGAAGAATTACACAGATTGAGGAGGGTGTTAATTACCATGACCACACTGGCAAGGATGGATAAAACCCTCCAATATCTGTGTAATTCTTCAAATTATATAAAAGCCCAATAACTGTTTTATTATTCAGTTAAAAGACTTCCAAGTTATTTTTAAAAAAGACACAAACAGCGAGTTCATTAGACATCGGAGATAGGAGAGTTCTCCCTTAACTGCGCAAAATTATCTGGCAAATGTTCGGTAGCCTATGACTACCTTTTATTCAGACGTGGAGCCTCGTTCAAAATATTCTCCTGTAAGGTTACACCTTATTCCTTCTACTAGAATTCTACACAAATACTTTCTTCAAAATATTTCCCTTTTCCTTGGCAGTTTCACAACTATTATGAATGGGTACTTTCTTATTCCAGATATTCCTCAAAAAGCAGTTGACATAACATTCACTGAGTAATATTTTTGCTATTCTTGCCATCATTTTTAATCAGTAATTTTACTATTTTGCCTTCTCATAGTCGTGTACTTTTTTGACATTTTCTTGAGTTCTGAATTCATGCCAAAACAGCTAACCTGCTACTCCATTCTCTTGCATTAAGTCATTGGTGTCAATAATTCTGTCAGCCTTAACTATGGTTATGAAGAAATATTATTATTCACTCGAAATATTTAGAACTCCATTTCTGACTGGATTAAATCCCACGCTTAATTCTTTATAACCAGCCACCGCAAACCAAATCTGGAAGGTATTTGTCAGTATCCAGAAATATGAGTCACTTTTATGGATAATTTACCTGATTAGCCCCCAAGGTTTCAATCTGAGTTCCTTGCCAGAAAAAATATTTCCAATTCTTTAATTTATTCATGTAATTTCTATCACATCATCTTTTACCTTCAACTATTTTTTTTTTTCATTTGTGCAAAATTATGTATTGAATGGCTGTGTTTTTCTGGGAAATAAATAAACTGAAAATAAATAAAAAGGGACAGCAGAAGCTTTTAAAGGAGTAGTAGGTCAGCAGCTGTTTTAGCAGAGCTGAGAAAATTACCAAGGGTTTCATGCATTTTGCAAAGAAAAATACCCAAAATACCACTCAACAGTTGACAGCTGCTATTCTGAAATTTCAGAGGAACAGATAAAGAACTTTACATAACAGCAAAAATATAATGATAAATTTTGCAGACTTTGGAAAGCCGGCCTCTGGTTAATCTGCATATTCTTTCTAGCATACAAAAGCTGAAAATCCAATAATTGCTAAATTGCTGAGGATTGAGGACAATTAGAAACAGAAAAGTGTTTTGAACGAATAATAAATCTAATTATCTTTTCTGGATCAATCTGAGAGCAAAACTCTTTAATTACCTGAGTAATCATGATGAACAAAAATAAGATGAGCAGCTGGGATGTATTGCCCAGAGGAGGGAACGTAAACGTTTATATCTGTCACTACTGCCAGACAGAAGAGTTCATAGGTGGAAATATTACAAATTTTGTCTGTTTAAAAGAATTATTATTATTATTATTACCATTACCATAATTATTATTAGTTTTTATCATTGAAATGAAAACTTTAAACTACAGGAATATTAGTTTGTTATAGAAACGCACCTTCATACACACAGTTTAACATATATTTTCCTTGGCATCAACTGGAATTCCATTAATTAAGTAGTTGAGTTTACTTAAATAAGCTATTGTAAACCACTTAGCCAGGGGCATAGCCAGGGTAGGGTTGCAGGGGTTCTTGAACCCCCCTTTGGGCTATGAAACTGGCTATAATTTCAAGCAAAGAACAACAAATTCAGAAAGGCATCACATATTATATTGAGGGTTACAACATTATAATTATACTATAATGAAGATCAGCAATTAAGAGGTCTGCAATAAAACATTTCTCAGCTTATGCCAAAGACAGTGCCAGGTTGAAAGCCATGAAATGAATGAAGTTTCCTTTTCACATTTTCCATTAACACTGAGAGAGATAGAAGCTACATCAAGTGAGTGGCTGCTTGCTAATCAATTTGAGGAAATTATCTGGAAGTGGGACACTTACAGCAATAGTAAGGAAAACAGCCTATTGCATGTGATATCCAAAGCTAATTCATCACTATGCAGGTTACCACAATGCCTTTCAGTATTACAGCCACTCATTATGAAGCTAAAAAAATGAAAAGTTGTTTTTTTTAGGCAACAGGCACTTCGAAGATTTGAAGCGTGCAGCTACAACATACATGTATCAGAAGAGACATCGATACGTTAATCTCAGGGACTGGCACAGCATGGCCGGTAACACCACAACGAGAAAAGCAGTCATTAAGCCATCTATGCCACGCATTGTTGGTTGGCATACAGCAGCCCCACAGAACCACGCTGAAATAATAATGTATGAGAACCTCCCCTTTGTCTACGGCTGCTACACATCACCTAAAGTAGCATTGGTGAGTTTCCTTCGAGCTCTAAAAATAGTGGACCACTACTCTAAAAAAAAAAAATCCATTCTCGGCACAGATATTTGCCTCATGCGGATGCGGGGATAACAGAGAAATGAAGGAGTTTGCAATCAAGGTGAATAACATGTCATCGGTTGAGTAATTATAGGTTTATGCTTCGTAGGAATATATTGGTGTGTTTCAAGAACTGCTTGCTGTGTTTGCAGATATGTGCCACCGTACTCCTGAATTTAGTTTGCAAAGAGAGGAAATTTAAACACTTCCGCATACTCGGTACAACTGGCGAATTTGTATTCGCGAGGATTTTGCGATAACGTATTTCATTTCCAGTTATATTTCCCATCACTGTTGCTGTTTGTTCAATTGTTGATCAGAAATAGTCAGAGAGTATTGCAAGAAAGGTATAGCGCGCACTGTGTTCAACATACCTGCTCTTCCACGAAGACCACCATCCGCTGCAAGCTCGCAATGCAAAATCTTCCCGCTTCACCGAGCTTAATCACCGAGCAAAGTCTGGGGAGAGGACACTGGTCCTCAGTCCTCTCCCCTTTTAATGCCTAGTCCGCCTATGCAACCTGATTCCTGTGAGTGTGCCATCTTCCGCCTGCGCAAAAGGCCATCGAGAGTTTTCTTGAGGAGACGGCCCAAATTGAGGCTAGAGCTCCAGTGATTTAGCTCCAGATGATCTAAGTCAGTGTGGAAAACGAGGTCAGTATTTGGGGTTGCAATTGCTGAAGTTAACGAAGTTGTCAGGCAACTAGAGATCCAGCGCGCTTTTCTGTTAACAGGTTTCAGTCAAGCTGCATGATTTAACTTCAGATTTACCAATCTTCAGCTGAATCGTAAGTCAGTGTGGAGTAGTCAGTACCTGTCAATATTTGGGTTTAAAACTGAAATGAGCGAAAGCAGTGGTTTAAAGCGTTGTCTAGATCGAAGTTACATAGGCTTTTATCCGCCAACTCACACGCGCCTTATATTCCTGGTATACGCGTGCAAGTACACGAACGAGTACAAGACTCGATCGTTTAAACTTGAACGTGCCAAATTTTTATAAATCTAATGCATATTACGACGAAAAACAATAAATAAATAAAGTAAAATAAAGATAAAAATATACGAACATATAAAAATAAAAGTATACGAAGATCAATAATACTAAAATCTAGCTATATGGAATCCAAACTATGTACAAAAGCTCTAATTACACTTAACTCCGGTAGTCAATTCAAAATGACCGTATCTGGCATTGACTTAAAAATGTTAAGGGATTGAGCTCTCCTGACATAATCAGGTAGATTGTTCCATAATCTTAAGGTGATGTAATGATATGACCTATGCATAAATCTACTGTTAATAGGTAGGCTGATTATAAAGCTTGCAATAGCCTCTGAGGTCATATTTATTATTACGAAATAAGAACGTCTCTTTAATATCATTCGGCCTCATATTGTACATGCATTTTTCTAAAAAAGGGTAAGAGAATAAGAATCTATGATGCTCCAGAGTCTTTGGGTCAACATGGGTAGGTAGGTCGCTATATGAAGTTGACTTAGACATGTTCATAAGAGTTCTAATAGCATTTAGTAAAATCCAACTAGTGGTCTCTTATTAATGCTGCATTCTGATTGGTTGAGCTACTACTAGGCTATATGTTATAGCTCACTAGTAGCGAAAAGCGCTGGCTTTGAAAACCAAAACAATGGCACCTGTATCGCGTTTTGCTAGCTTATGTTGTTTTGTCTCGATATTTTTACTATTATTTTTTACTAAAACAACTATTCCTCTTGCCCTCATGGCCTCTGAGTCAATAGCCCCTTCGGCCTTCAGCCTCATGGGCTATTGACTTAGAGACCATTTGGGCTCGAGGAATAATTGTTAAATACTGATTAGTAATTTTCAGTTAATTAGAGAGACCAGATGATAACCCAACTAAGACTGGATGGATGTTTACCGGGTTTCAAAGGAGAAAAACGACTTTAATGATGTTCAACAGGCAATTTGAGTGTAAAGGAATATTAAAACATCTATTTTAAAACAAAATTGTGAAATTTGTCCAATTATCTTGGCCCAGAAAAGAAAAGAATTAGAAAGAGAGAAAAAGGACACTTGTTTAATATTACATGACGCCTTTACCCTGCTGACCACACTGCTTGTCTCTGAAATCAAAATGGCTGCCCAGATACCGCGATCAAAGGTTTCAGATGTCTTACAAGGCTTTCTTTAGTGGTAAATCACCTTAAATAACATTAAGATTAGGAAAATGTTTCGTTAAAGTTAGAATTCATTGATTACTTTACTTGAATTTAATTTAATTTTTTTTTATGAATTATGCGATTTTCCTCAAATTGTGCCATCGAATGCAATTTGTGGTCAATTGTACGAAATCGCACCATTGCGTAATATCAGATGGCCTGCCTAGTATGGTCAGAAAACGATTCATAGTATGGCAGATTGTCACCCAGTGGTAAGACTTAAGTTTTAGATTCATTTATACTCAAGTAATTACACTTGAACCATGACTGAAGCACATTGAACTTGCTCTGAGATTGACTCTAACACATCTTGGTGAGATTGTGATAGATGCAGTGTCTTATCATCGGCGTAAAGCCTTAGCTAACCATCGTCGACAGAGTAAGTGAGATCATTAATGAATAGGTTGAATAGAAGAGGCCCCAATATTGATCCTTAAGGAATGTCATGTTGGATTGTTTTCCAGTCTGAGAAGGTGCTTCCAATCTTAACATGTTGCAATCTACCAGACAGATATGAGCGAATAAGATTTGCTGCACTTTTGGTAAAGCCATAAGCTTTCAACTTGGAAATAAATAGGCTGTAAGAAATTGAATCAAAGGCCTTAGATAAGTCTACTGCAATGGCAATACAACGATCCTTATTAGCCAGAGAAGCTCTGAAATCTTCAGTCGTTTTAAGGAGAGCAGTTTGCTCATGAGTGACCTTTCAGAAAGCCAGACAGACTATCACTTAGTACTAGGGTATCTAAAAGACAGTAATGCTGCAGCACACTCTGTTGATACTGACATTAGTTAGGTAGTGATCCATCTGCTTGTGTGAGACTTAAAAGAATTGAAAATGACATTGAATGTGTCCTATTTACATGTTGGAAAGTAATAATAACTATAATAATAATAATAATAATAATTTAAACATATTTATGCAGGATTGCTGCTTCAGTTTTAAGAAAAAAAAAACTGCTATCAATGCAGGTCCTGTAAAAAATTAAAAATATAAAAAATAAAAATAAAAAAGATTTAAAATATAGATAAAAATCAAATTACAATATTACAAAACAGTTACACTAAACGAAAGATCGAACAGTTATAAATTCTAAGAATTATTAACAATTATTAAAAATTTTTGCACCTTTGTAGAAAAAAGCGCGCTTGGTGCATTCTAAATTAATTTTTTCTAAAATAAGGTCATTATTATTTCTAGTTTTGTGGCGGTGAATGTCACGGTTTCTTACATTGAAATAATTAGAAAGGTATCTGGGAACTCTATTTGCAATGCACTCATCAACAAATCTTAAAATGTGTGTCCGTCTTCTATAATAGAGAGGTTCCAAGCCCAGTTTAGTCATAATTTGATCAGTTGATAGTTTTGAGGCAGCTTTGAAGTAGACGATCCTCGCTGCTCGTCTTTGTAGTCGTTCAATCTTGTCACTGTTTCCTTGTCCACATTCATGCCACACAGCATCACAATAATCTAGAACCGGGAGGACCATGGCTTTATAGAGTCTATTTGCAGCTTCTAGCGTAAGTGAAGGTCTTATTCTAGAGAACATTCCGAGTATCTTAGATACCTTCATCCTCACATAGTCCACGTGGTCATTGAAGGAAAGGGGTCATTGAAGGAAAGGAAAGCAGCCTATTAAAAGAATGGTGGTAACGTTCTTTAGAAAATGATCAAATGGTTATCAATTCTGGTTTTCCCACAGCAAATTGTAGGAAATGATACAAATTCAGATTGTTTATCCATATATTTAATATATGGTGTACTATCTTTTCTCTGGAAACACGATACTTTTCTTTGCTGTTTATTGCAGTTTATTATATAACAATTATTCAGGTATATATTTAGACTTACTTACTTACTTACACCGGCAAATGCCATTTAAAGATGATTGCATTAACCCAGCTATTAACAGTAAAAACAATGTAAATGCATTCCCTGGCAGTGAATGAATGAAAGAACACAATTATGCTTTACAAAACGCTGATTCATGTCTTCTTCTGCAAAGTAGGACGCAAAACATATGTTTTGTTATCTGATGTACACCAACAGGCCGCCACCTCCCTTTTTCTGATCCTGCCTCAACATCCTATAATGTAGGTGTTGCAGATGAAAGCTATTATCTGTAGAGTCCAACGTGGTTTCTGAGATGGCAAGAATGTGAAATAGGCCTTCATTCAGCAATAATTTAATATCATCAATCTTGTTCCAAATGCTATTAATGTTTGTGTGGGCTGTAGACATGTTGTACCGATAATAAGACAACACGTTCTTCTTGTAAGCAAACGTGTGTCACACGCCTAGGTTCGTAGCCTATGTTGCAGTTTTTATAGCAGATTCCTACACCTCACTTTTTGTCTGAACTCTTTGAGAAAACTCTTTCCAGCCCCCCTCAGTTCTTGTCAGTCCCTTTAAAAACTAGTTATGTTTGATTCCATAGTTGGGGATCAAAATAAAAATGGTCCCCTGCACCAAGTGGGGGGGGGGGGGGACTCCCTATTATGGCCTACCGGGGGGGGCCCCGCCCCAAAGGGGGGGCCGTTTTCAGGCTTTGGGTATATGAAAGAGTGGAGATTTTTTGTGTTGGTGTATAAGAAAGGGGGGGGGAAAGGTTATTTTGGGGTGTGTAAGGGGGGGGGGGGTACTCCCTATGATGGCCTACATGGGGAGGCTCCGCCCGAAAGGGAGTGCCGTTTTCAAGCTTCAGGTATATGAAAGAGTAGAGATTTCATTAGTTGTAGTATATAAAAGGGTAGGGAAATCTGTCATTTGGGTCTGTGAAAGGACCCAAAAGAACTAACTGATGAATTTTAAGGTTTTAAAAAGTTTAGAAAATGTTATATTTTTGTTATTGATTCCTATTTAAAAGACAGTGCATTTATAGCAGTGGAAGGGAGGCAAAGTTCTAAACAAGGTATGTGAAAGGGGTATCGTTTGTCAATAGAAAGTGTATCAATATATGAAAGGGTACCTTTTTCGTGACAAATGGTAAGTGGTTTGACCTTG